ACCCACATATACGGCAGCTGGTTGTTTATACTAGAGTGCTATTAGTTATCACCTTGTGTGTGTAGAGCAGTGTGGCCGCATAGGGTTTTCAAGGCTTTTGGAAGCAGATTCTCAGGCCTATCTACAGAGGTGCCTCTGGGTGCATGCAAACTGCCAACCTTCCAGCTACAGGTTGAGCACTTCACCATGTGGCCACGGAGAGACTCTCTATAACACATGTCTCACATAAAAGAGATAGGATAATTATGACAGACTAGCTAGCCTCACGATTCTGGGAGCAAAGTCTTTAAATTGTAGCTCTACCATTTATTAGCTGTGTATCCTGGGGCAAAGTATGTACCTTTTTGTGTGCCTTAGGGTCCTCATTTGTTAAATAGAAACTATGAATCAAGCCTGATCCAGAGGCTTTTAGAGGTTTCAGCAGGTTGATAGTCACAAAATGCTTAGAATACTGCCTAATGCAACACATCGTGAGTACTATGGAAGTGTTTGCTCAATAACTGAATAAAAATGGTTTTTTTTTTATACCACTTGATTTTTTTCCCCTCAACCTGAAGAAATAACAACCAATGGTGGTATGAGGAGTCCTGGGCTGCTAAACACAAGGTCGGCAGTTCAAGTCCACCGGAAGAAAAAGAGGGTTTCTGCTCCCATAAGATATCTACCTTCAGATACCCACAGAGGTAGTCCTACAAGATCAGTAGGAACTGGAATTGACTATGGCATTGAGTGAGTGAGTGAGTGAGTGAGTGTGATAGGTTTATTGTGCCAACCTGGCCAATGAACACATGTGGGATTAACTGAAGGGCAGTTTAACTGAAGGGCAAAGAGAGAGCTGCCTCAGCGAGTCTCACTTTTCTTGTCTCTTGCTCTCTGATGATCGGACCAGTGTGCCTTTGCTGGTTCTCTGTCTCAACTCCTGAGCCACACTACCTGTGGGACACCCAACCTGTGGACTATGTCACTGTAGTTTGAGGTTCCTTCAAGACTAAGGTGACCAGATTATAACTTTGGTAAAGCGGGACACCATTGATAAAACTCATATCCTGGTTAAATAGCCACATGGCAGCCAAAAACCATATACCCTAGCTTGTCATGCATTCTTTCCAAAAATCGGGACTTTTTAAAAATGCCGCAGGATGCGGGGAAAATTGTTAAAAACTGAACTGTCCTGTGAAAAACGGGACGTCTGGTCACCTTATTCAAGACCTGCTTCGCCACACTACTGTGTATACATCACTTGAGCTGAGGACTGTTGGACCCTGTCATCTGGCTGACTGTTGGTGACCTGCCTTGCTGTTTGCTGCCTGTGGCTGGATAGCCTGAATTGCTCTACAGAGGACTAAGCTGTCTGCTTCAGTGACTTGCACCCAACGGCCCTTGTGAATTGAAGGGCTGCCAGTGTACTAGCTGTCTCAGGGAAGTAAGCTGCACTGAGCCATTTGTACTGCTCTGTAGGCTAATTAGCTTTTTATTTCTTATTTTCTTTCTTTCTATCTATCTATCTGTCTATCTATCTATCTACTATCTAAAACCTTAAGTGTCCTGGTCTTGCTTCTCTAGAGAACCCTGTCTAACACAGTGAGTGAGTGAGTGAGTGATGGTATGAGAGCTTGTGTCATTTGGAAAAAACTCCAGTTATTTTAATAGTTCTTGTTTCTCTCCCCTTCTATCTCCTACTGGAGAAACTAGATGTTAGTTTCTACCATGGACAATGAGGGGTACAAAGCAATTTATTTGACTAGAAAACAGATTTGGACTTTTTAAAATGGCTCTCCTCTCTGCCACTTTCTTTAAAGAGAACACCATTTTCTTTAATTTTCTAAAGTGAAAGGTGATAAAAGCCTTCAATCATTCCTCCTGAAGATAACATGGCCCATCAAATCACTCAATCATTATTCTTATTTCAGCCTTCCCTTGGCCAAAGCTTAAATTTAATAATTATTGACTCAGTGATGAATTTCTTTCAAAGCAATCAATTATACGAATTATTATTTCTATCTCAGGAAAGGAAATCCTTAAACATTCCAATTAGTAATTTTTTTCTACTGCCAACCTAGGCCTTCAAACTTGCCCTATCTTTTTAACATTTGAGTATTTAAATAAACTTCAGTGTGAGTGCCACCTGACTCAGTGTCAATGAGTTTGGAGTTGAGTTGGCTTTTGTCTTTGAAGTGCTGAAATGGAACTGATTTTTGGACCATGGAAAAAACATGAATATGAGAAATGCAAAGACGGGGTGGGGGGAAGACCTAGAATCTTTACCCAGCTTTTAAAAGAAATATCCAATAATGGATTTATCATGTGTCACGACAAACAAAAATGCCAAGACTGTTAATAATATTGAATGTATGAAGAGAAGGTTAGTGGTGAGTCTGTTACCTGGGACTTCTTTAAGACAAGTTTCAGGAGTTATTCTAAGCAAACATTTTAGGAGCTATAAAGTTACAGCAGTTCTTAATGCAATCAACAGTGCACAAGCTCTGGGCGTGGTGCAATCTCTACCTTCCACAGAGCCACCACTGCTGAGTTGATTCCACCTACAAGACAGCAGAGAAGTGCTCTCTAGGGTTCCCTCGGCTGCCAATCTTCGCACGCATGCACGCATGCGCGTGCGCGGCTGCCACACGTTCCTCCGGAGGGCAGAGGTGAGACTGAACTGCTGCCCATTTGGATTGCAGCTGAGTGCATGACCATGGCACCGCCAGGGCTCCCTTTCCACTCGCCAGGGGAGCCTGGGTGGTCACTGTGGGGCAAAGTTTTGTTCTGTGACATTTAAGGCCACCAGGAGTTGGAGCTGGCACATGGGCACCTAACAGCAAAGCTTTAGAAATCAAACTATTCTCCTTTTGAAATGTGTATTTCAACTTAAACAAAAATTATACCACGTGGAGATCACAACTTGACATCCTTTGTAATAGACACCAAGAAGAAATCATCATGATTTACTATCTTGATTAGGGAAAGGGGCGGCACAGGTGATTGTAAAAGGGCGGGAGGATTTCCGCTCCAGTCCTTCCCAACAAGCAGTGAGTTCCCACTGCTGGTTTAGAATGTTGCTCTTGCTTGCTGCCCATGACTGGAAGCCAACTCCTGCTGACCTGGCGCATGCAGAGCAGAGCTGTGCTCCACATGGTTGTCTTGGCTGTCACCTTTGGAAGCAGATCACCAAGCTTAGTCTCCAAGGCCCTTGTGAGAGGGTTTGAACCACCAACCTTTGAGCTACTGCTTGAGTGGCTACTGCTACTGCTTAGACTACTCAGAGAGCTCGGAGAACCAGTCCCCTACACTTGGGGGAGCTACCACCATCTAAATGCTGCTATCTTAGGGTGGCTCGGAAGCAACAGCTGGAGTGAGAGTCTAGGGGACACAGGATGGCACAAAATCCACAGACTTGCACTTTTTTACACCCAAGTATTCTTTTTCATGAATCTACTAGCAAAGACAGACTTGCCGCTGCTTTTCTACGATTGAACAACAGAGCTGCCTAGTTGGCACAATGACTAAAGATCGAATTTGTTACAACAGCAACAGCAACAACAACGTGATGTTCACGACACACAGAGTTCTGACCAGCTCAGTACTGGTTTATAGAGAGCTTGTGTTTTGTCACTAGGTAGTCACCCCTGAGGCCCTGCTCCTCAACCTGCTTCAAAGGAACTCTTCCAGCAATTGCCTCCTTGGCCAGAAATACTCCCCTTCTAGCCTGTGCGCTTCAGAGTACAGTTCAGAGTTCTACAACGAGTTCTGCCTCTTTGTGCTTCAGGGCAGTAAGCATGGGTGCACATGGAAGCAGCTACGCACTGCTGTGTGTGCAGTGTTTTCTCCCCTGAGCTATAAATAATGGTTGTCTTCCATTTGCATTTAAAAGGGAATTCACCTCCTTCACCTTTGTCCCATTTCATTTAAAGAGAACCATCTTTTTCCTTCAAATTAAATCAAACAAAAGCCAAACTAACTTGCACATTTCAAACTAGTAGTCGAGTTGATAAGCCTGCCTTTTATAGCCAACACTCCCTCATCCCAAACCACATAACCTGTAAATCCAACACTTTGCTTAACCACATTTCTTTACCCCTTTTCAAATTACATATGATAAGCAAGGTGATTTGCAGCATGAATGTAAATTCATTCACAAAGTCAATACAGAGGATACAGTAACCATCCACAACTATTTATAACGGCCAGGAAGTATGAAGTACCTATGACAATGTCATTTGGAAACAAACAAGAACCAGAGTCCAGTTGTCCTTGGATGAAAAAAGGATCTGCAACTCGAATCTTCTAATTATATGACTAGGTGGGTGCACCACTTGTAGAGTTTTTAGAAAATGGGTAAGAATCAAAGCCTACTGCTGGGAGGAATTACTATGTTTATTCCATTTTTGAAAGCGCATCAAGTCAACAGAATCAAAAATGCAAAGAAAATCCAAATGTAAGGGTATGACCCCAAAAATCAGAGCAAAACACTGTATAGAATGACTGGGAGGCAAGGGGAGGAGCAAAAAACGATAGGGTCAAGAAAAAGATGGCCATCTTGCATTATTTTATTCCAAAGAGAGGTCTGCCAAATTTTTTTTAACAACTCATATTTTGTTTAAGGATATTTTCTCGTCACAAATGACCTTGAAACGTTAGGTAATCTAGTTCCTATTTCTTCTAATTAATTTAGGGTTTTCTTCCCCACCAGGGCTATGAAGACAAATTCAGGTTTTTGTTTTAATGGAAATCTTTCTCCTTTTGAAAACCAGGGTGTGTGTGGGCACGTGCACTTATTTAAGAAAAGCAACATAAATGATAAGTAATCGGTTAAGCACAGGGCTTTGGAAGGGTGTTGTGTGCCAGTGTGGGGCCCTGAAACATAGCTTTGTTAGCAACCTGTCTCAGAAAGAATTGTCTCTGCAGGAGGGTTCTGTCTGGCCTGGCCCCGTACAGGTGGGCTACTGAAACGGGAGAGTGGTAAGGATGGATAGTGGGTGCGAGCAGAGGCCGTGTCTTACCATACAAGTATCCAGGTCCTCCAAACGCTCTATCTCTGTTAGCTCCTCCACCGTGATGATGGCACGCTTAGCGGGTTTCTCCTCGACCAGCTCAATCTCGAAGGACTCTTGCTGAGGAAGGGCCTTGCCACGTCTGCTGAAGTGGTCAGCCTAGGGATGTCAGTCACCGACAAGAAGAGACAAGGGAAGAACTGGTGAGGTCAAGTGCTGAAAATGTCTTCCACAAGATGGCGCAGTGGTGGTCTGTGCCCGCATGTGGTTAAAGCCGATTCTTAACACAGTCATTCCTTTGAGGGTTTGACGTAAGAAATTATAAACTTCTCTGGGTAAATGGGGATACAGCCTACTCTCTAAGAAAATAAATGTTCCCTTTTTATTGATTTCAATGTAGTCATCCTCTGAAGAAATTTCCTTTTATATCTAGTGCCTAAACATACCTAATGAGTGAGGCAAAATGCTCCCAACTTTAATTATTTTTAGAGGGCTGGAAGAAAGGAAATTGCTAACGAAATCTTAACTATTGCTACTTTCACTGTTTCCACATAATGAACACCATATTTTGTATGGGTATTAATTTTCAGTGGTATGCTTTAGGTAAATCTGCTAAGCATGTAGTTGACTTTTAAATGGTAAGAGGCAGAAGCAGAGCTGAAATTAATATGCTCAAGTGCTGAGCTGATTTAACTCATTTGCGAGGAGGAAAACCTAGCGACAATTCTGAGGAAGCTCTGGGAACACTACTAATATCCACTTGGGGAAAACATTTAAGTTATCTAAACGTCACTGAAAAATGCCATTTCTTTCCGATAACCACTAAATGATCTTTTCACCATCTAAAGCACAAGTAGTAAAATTAAAGGGAAGCTCCAAGTACATTTATTTCTATAATTTATTTTTAATGACAAACAGAAAATGCTAGTATTTTCTGAATTACCTAACGTCTTTAAAGGAAAAAGCAAAACAAATCAAAACCCATTTCCATCACCTTGATGGTGACCCACAGCACCCCCAAAGCACAGAACAGAATTGCTCAGTGGGCCACCTGAGACTGTAAAGCTTTAAGGCTTGTGGGTTTAAACCACCGGCCTTCCTTCAAATAAAAGTGCAAAAAGTGAGAATTTCACCTTTCAGTGTAGCTTTCACATCTAGAGTCATGCTGAGATAATATCCAGTCTTGTGTTATCAAGTTAACACCGGGAGGCAGTCCCTGAAGTTTTGGGCTACCCAAAAACTGCTTCTAAAATGATAATAGTGCACTTATTTTGAAAGAAAAACAAAAAGCATGAGTTGACAGTGCTGAGCAATGACGTGATGTCCTTGGCTGATAGCTGAAAGGTTACACATTGTAATTCACTGACAAGTGCCTTGGAAGAAAGGCCTGGTGATCCAACTCCCAAAACCTCAGCCATTGAAAAATCCTACGGAGCACAGTGGCACCCTGGCACGCATGAGGTCACCATGAATTAGACTCAATGAGGTGGCTCTTCAAATGTACCAGAAACTAGTGTTTATATAACTTTGTGGTGAGAACCTTTTTTCAGTATTTGTCACCACCAATATACTGGTAATACAGAAAAGCAAAGCGAAACAGAACATACTGTGTACTGGATATTATCAAAAGTCCACAGCCACCGAATCGACTACAATACGACTATGACTCCTACTGACTCTCTAGGACAGAAAAGAACTGCCCCCTTTAGGTTGCCAGGAATTCCAATCTCCACAGGAGCAGCCTCAACTGGGAGGGTTTGAACCACTGACGTTGGGCTTAGCAGCTCAATGTGTACCCGATGACTTCACATGTCAAACTGCTCAAATATGCAATGTGTTCTCTCAGTTTCTGAATTTAGCTTGCCACCAACTGCTAATCATCTGTTAATAGGCACACTCTAGTCCACTGGACCTGACAGTACTGTTGGAGATGTCGAACTTACCTTTATAGATTATAGACCACTGTTTATAATAATGTTTCTGTACTCTGAAGCATACAGGTGAGTCCCCGACTTACGGCATATCTGAGCTGTGATCAGATGCACTTTTGGGGGGTGGGAGAGTGAATCTTATTACTACTGTGTGCTATATACAATGCTGCAATGCAGATAACTTGCTGATGATACCATTTTCAGAGGTTCACTCTCAGATGCCTAGATTTCTAAAGATACCGATATTCAAAGGAGATAATCATAAAAAAATCTTATATGTATCTGGCTTACGTCAGACCGACTTATGGCAGTGTTGTTGGAAGGAAACATCGATGTGAGTTCCTGTGCTCCTTTTGTCTTATGAAAAGTGAACGCTGCTGCTTCTTTCTCTTTGGGGGTTCTCTAGTACCTTCCAAGCCCATGGTGGTGCATATGGGGAAGCATTTACTGCTTAACCAAAAGGTGGGCGGTTCAAGCCCAATCAGAGGCTCTGAAGAAAAGGTCCAGTGATCTGCTTCCAGGAGGGCACAGCCTTGAAAACCCAACAGAACGTAGGTCTGCTCTGCCCGTAAAGGGGGTGCCGTGATTTAGAATCAACAAAATGGCAACGGGCTTGTTTCTAACGGTCACCTACTCATTCAATGGCATCCAACTGGACTCCTCCAACCTGCACAGTGAATCTGAGATGCTTTCCCCCCAAAGAAAACACTGCCCTATCTTGCTTTGGAGATCCTTCCTGCATAATTTTGCTAACGTTTTGGGGATACTAAAAAAAATAAAATAAAAACAGTTACAAAGCCTTCAGCTGTGCCTCCGAGGGCTTCCTGAAGGTCGAGACACGAGGGGTTTCTGAGGTATTTTCAAGGCACCGGGACGGAAAGCACAGTCCCTCATCTTGCTATAGAACCAGACTGTAGATGCTGCAAACTGGTTTTCACGTTGGCCATGTCTCTAGAGGCCTGTTTGGCAGTTGGCCACCACTATTGATAACCAGAATGTGTTCTTGCACTTTCTTTGGACTCTAATGGTTTCCTTCTCTTCCGTGATTTCAAAAATAGCCCATTCTCAGATGACTCTATATATCTAGGGGCCACAAAAGAGAATCTAAAAATGTCCCTTTCAGACTTCAGCCCAAACCGTCACCCTCTCCTTCTAACTCTTTTTACCTGCATCGTAAATGAATGACAAGACTTCTGGAGACCGCCTCCTGCTTCCCCTGCCGTTCCCTCGGCCAAAATGCTAACAGGCTCTGGGAAGATTGGAAGCGTGCTAGAGTGGAAAGAAGGAAACCCGGACAAGAGAAGTAGAAGAGATGATTCCCATCCCCTTGTATCCGAGGCTGCCTTGTACCCAAGCAGATCTGAGGGAAGGGGTGCCATTCAAGAGCTTCAAAAACTCACCAGCTTATGGTGGCAATTGGAGAGGGCATCCAGGATTTCATCCACGATTCGGTCAGACAGGAAGGAGGCCACCGTCAACTTCACCTCACTAGATGACAATCCAAAAGGCAGAGTGAGGTTTTAGACTGTGCACGGGAAAAATAATCACCTGTCCCTGATGCTGTGTCAGCGGGTCAACAGGGGCTGCACGTCTGTCTTTGAAAGTGCAATAGAAGAACGCGTGAACAGGGCTGAAGTGTTCCCCCCAAAATAAGCCTTAACCCACTGCCATAAACACACAGGTAATAGCCCTTCTTTACCAATTTTAACCTGCCTCTGCAAATTTCAAAACTCAACATTCCATGGTAGAAATGAAAAACATCTGGAGAAA